ATTTGTCTTGTAGTAAATTTGTCTTGTAGTAAATAAAAAGGGCGACCTGGAGCCAATCCTGCTATTTCCCCACAGGTGAAAGAGTTGACATGCTGAAAAGCCAACCCCTGCAGGGGGGTCTGGGGGGATTCTCCCTCAAGGAGATTTTTTGAAATACTAACATAAAATACACATTCTGGTACTCTCTTGAGAAGACAAATAAATAAATCTATTACTACACGACATATTTAAAAAAATGAATGCCATTTTAGTTTTTTGTTACTTTGTTCTGAAAGCTGAACCTGCTGCTCCTCACAAAGAGAAGAGGGAAGAGGCTGTGAATGACTTTACATTGTGGATAAGGGTGGATAGCCCCCATTGTCCTGTGTGTCAAAATGAAAGACAGCCCACACACCTATCAATCATCAAACCGTGGGGTCTCATTTCATTACGTGTTGATTTCTATCAACACGTAATGTTGTATCGATGTATCAGGACTTCCTGCAACAACACCACGCCGTTATCGTGATTCTGATTGGCCAGAAGACATTATCAAAGATGTTCTATTGAGAAGACGATCACTACGTGACAAAAGTTTTCAAAACCGTTTCTAGTCTTCGGTATTTCCAGACAAGTGGCTACTGAAATCAATCTTACTGACTGCTGTCGGGGCAATTTACTCCGCGAATTGGCGGACTTTATTTTGCTTACCTTAACATCATTTTTCATGGTGGGGCTAAGCCATTTCTTGGTATGGCTGTAGCCTACCCCAGCCATACCCTGGCGCCGCCACTGACCGCAAATACCTCATTCCTTCCGTCTACTTGGATCCGAAATGCTTCTCGTTTTGCCCCGTTCAAATGAAATCGCCGCCAATCATATTTCCACGCTCGTTCCAGGGCCGGGGGAGGGGTTACAAGGCTCGCGTCTTGTGCTGCATTCACTTGCACTCGGACATTAGAGATTTTCTCTCATAAATGTCCGATGAGCCACAACTTTTTTTTCAAAACAAAGCTGCCAACTGGGGTGGCAAGGCATTTTTCTGAGGTGGCAGCTGCCACCCCGTGCCACCCTGTAGAACCGCCACTGCTGTGGACAATACCCACAGGAGCAAATTCGGGTGAAGTGTCTTGCCCAAGGACACAACGGCCTGACGCAGTGGGGCGGGAGCGGGTTTCGAACTGGAGTTCCCCAACGCCCCCTTGATCTGATGATCAAACGCACAGACCACTGCGCCACCCGTGTTCCACACTCCAGTTTCCCCCCGCCTTCCAGAACCTTATGACATCACCATGTAACACTCACACTCGCACACTGTAGTTGATAGGCTAAGGGGTGAAAAGAGGTGCTGCAGCACGGGCAGTATGAGAAAAAGAAAGCACTTTTTGTACATTAAAGCATGGAGACATGTCCCAGTAGAGCAGTGGTTCTCAAAGTGGGGGGCGCGCCCCATGCCAGGGGGGGCGCGAGAGACCAGGAGGAAAAATGGTTAAAAAAAAAAAAAATCATAATTTTAAAAATTATTGATTCGAAAATAATATGATGCAGTACAGTATTATTACGTGTTGAGAGATGTATCCATAGATCTCTTCATTTTGCTCTCAAAGTGCACCAGATTGATGCATTTAACTTCAATATTTAAAAATGAAATCTTCCTGGGGGAGCTTGCCCCCGGACCCCCCTATGTGAGGTCCACACACCACCTATAAAAATAGCACTTTACCCCTGCTAAGCTGATTATCGAGCCTTCATTGTAACAGTCGCGGGTACACTGTGTGTATGCGTGGGGAATGTTGCAGTAGAAAATTCCACTGTAGCGACCGGTACATTAATGGGAAACCCTAAATGTTTGAGCACCCTCTATGAAACGTCAAGCTACCTGAGCTACTGAGCCTGACTATTTGTGTTGGGGGGGGCACGACTTTTTTTTTTCTCCAACGGGGGGGCCTGACAGAAAAAGTTTGAGAACCACTGCAGTAGAGACACAACATATGAAAATAAACCTAATATGTCCTCTTTATGAATGACTAAACTAACGAGTAGTCAAATTCACAAGACGTAAAAAAGCTAGCTAATGTTAATTTCATTTTTTAAACTACACAAAGCGAACTTCTCCCTTGGAAGAATTAAAATATATGGAAAATGGATAATCAAATTGTGCCTATAGCTGCAATGATTTAATTAATTGTTCCCCCAAAACATTCTAAATGTACCAAATGTACAATTTCATTTCAAACCTTTATTTAAGCAGGTGAATCGCATCCCTTTTTCAAGGGAGACCTGCTGAAGGTAGGTTCCACATGAAGACATCAAACAACAGAAAAACGCATATTTACAGCGACTACAGTTTACATAGCTAGTGACATTTACAGGTTCCAACAGTTTCCGATTGGATAGCATCTATCTGTGCTTTAAAAACATGTAGTGGAACCAAATTGCTCAGCTTCCATTCCTTTTGCAGACTGTTCCAAGACAGAGGAGCTGCGTATCTAAAAGCTTTCTTCTTTAATTCAGTCCTAGCACTTGGCACATGTAATACAAGCCCATAGTCTAAAGATCTGTCACATTTGTTAGAAGGGAAGTCTGGATTGGTTCCTATTTATTTTCCTCCTTTTCCCTTATTCCGTTTTTAAATGTAGCAAACACCCCTCCAAACTATCAACAGCCTGTTTATTGTCCAAATTATCATGGGATAAGTTTCAATTGTACTTATTATTATCGTCTAATAATGGTACATTGAGTGGAAGTAGTGGGAGGAGGTCTTCGAGCGTACAGGAAGCACACCTACAATTCATATCATTGAAAATGCCACAAAGCACAGTTTACTTCCTGTGTTATTACAGTAGTTACTTTATATCAGTACCACAGTTCAATGGATTTGAACAAATGATGTTCACACAACAATCGAACACTCTAACTGTTAGTGACAGATCTCTCATCTGTTAGGGTAACAGATGAGAGATCTGTCTTCATGTTGAACGCTGGGCCTGCAGGCTCTCAGTGACGCAGAGAGAAGGTGAAGGATGAGCGTAGGCAGGGAACATGATTCACAGAATAACAAGTGAGAGAAGCAACTGTGTTCATCATGTTCCTCACTGCTGCTTCTCCACATTTCCTTACGTGCTTTCTCAGTGTGCATCTGGCAGTATGTTGGTTTCAGAATATGTCATATTTCCCAGAGTTTCAGAGCTTATGAACCATCATCATTCTGAAAATAAAAAAGCAGTCCAGACAGTGTTTAAGGCCAGCAGAAAGAAAAAGTTCAGTTTTGAGAAGTGACTTTGTAGTTTCATTCATAAGACGCAGAGAAACAGAAGCCAAGTCATTAGTAGAAGCCAGCAGACCAGAGGTGTACATGATGTAAATACAACGCAATGCCAAAGTTATTAATCACAGTGCTGAGGGTTCACTTTATCTCCTGTCATGAAGCAGCACATCCTTATCAAACCTAACAAGCAGCAGGATGTGAAGAATGTTTGCTGATGGCCAAATGGTTCATTTTTGATAATAATAATAATTGTATTTTAAATGGAGGCCATTATGGTAAATAAAGTCATTATGGTAATTTATGACATTCATACCTGCAGTTTATCACATATTTAAAAAATAAAACAAAATGGGCTGAGGGATTAAAACATGTCAGTTTTCCATTACTTGGAATATAAATACTTACTAAGTGTTTGTTGAAAGGGTTAGGTTATTCTTCCGACCTCCAGGTTCATATCAGTGTGTAGTGTCTGTTAATGTTCAAAAAGCTCTTTATGTTTCTCATACTCCCTGCTGTCAGCGAACACGGCCGGCTCGGTTCGCTGGCGGCCGGCATCGCCCTTTATTTTGTATGTTTTTAAACGGCATCATTTAAGTTGTGCTGACAGGCGACAGAGGTCCGTTCAGCGGGCCGTTTCCACGCAGCAAGGCTTTACTTCACCACCGCTAAGCTTAAGGCGGCTAATGTTGGATTTGATGACGTTTAGTCATCTCATTTAGACACTTATTAGCAACTGCTGTTTTTAGATAGATGGACAGATAGATAGAAAGATAGATAGATATATATATATATAGATGTTATGACACAAAGAAGCTTCAGACATTCACTAGTGGGGTATTTACTGTCTATTCTATGCATGTAGAAGAAGAAAATCCTATTTCCGACCTTGAACCAAAAGCACAATAAAAAAACCTGTTGACTTCAAGACAAGCTAACAGGAAATGCTAAAATGCTAACTAATTTCTGTGTTTTAGGACTTACTGCACCACTCTATAGGATAGAGATTTCAAAAACACATAAGCCGCTTTCACACCAAGTACTTTGCCGTGCTTAGATCCCAGCACTTAGTGCCAGCACTTAGTTCCCCCATGGAACTAAAGAGCCGATCGCGTTCACACCGGAATAAGTTCCCTGAGGGAGGATTAGGCAAATGAAGCCGCTGACGTCACTTCTTCTTCTGCTTTGGGTTTACTGGCAGGCCGCAAACCACTTCACGGTGTATACTGCCACCCGAAGACAGAAGTCCCCGGAGTTAGGGACTGGCTTCAGTAGAAGCTGCTGGGACTCCCAGCAGCTTCTACTGGAGCCTTCCGAGTAAATCGCCAGAACGCCGACACCTCCTCATCTCCACCGCTCCCATGTTTTCTTTTGTGTTGCCATAAGTTAGTCTCTCTGCGTTGGTGTGCGGGGCTAATGCTAATGCTAATAATGCTAATGCCAGCTAATACAATGGCGGCTTCACATACATTTTCAGAGTTTTACGGGGTGTGGTTTGCAATTCGCCCAGCCAATCAGAAATTGGAACTTTTTTCTCCCCAGGAAAGTACCTGCTCTCTAGCAGGGGGTAAAAAAGGGGGTAAAAAAGTTCTCATGAACTAAGTTCTCTTTTTGGTGTGAACGCAAAATCCCAGGAACTATCGGAACTAAAAGGGAAAAGTACCCCGGTGTGAAAGCGCCTATAGCGATCTGTTTCTACAGGGCATTTACAACATACTCTTGCTAAATTGTGTGTGTGTGTGTGTGTGTTTTTCAGAGGGCGGGGCTGTGGCAGAGGGTCTGCCGGCTGGCCCTCCCCCTCTGGCTCCTTCTGCTGGCTCTGCTGCTGCTGGCCTTCCTGCTGCCCTTCATGGACGAAGGCAGCAGCTGCTCCCTGACCAACAACTTTGCCCGCTCCTTCAATGTCATGCTGCGCTACAACGCACCACCCCCCACGTAGGAGAAGCCCCCATAACTCACTATAACGGACCGTGGTTTATTAGGTGACGTTGACCCTCTCCCTGGATTACAGAGAAACAAAGAGGACTAGAACATCTCAAGGGCAATCTAAGGCTTTGCAACAAATCATATTCTCATTTAAGAAAGTTATATTCATTGCTTAACATCATTTTCCTGATGCTTTACACATTATGGACAAAAGCTCTTAGATAATGGTGTAGAAATGATGTTCATGTAAACTTTAAATAACTTAGCTTTAATATTAACAATATAACCCATCATCGTGACACAAAGACTCTGCTTTGAGATTTGGTATACCCAGCAATTGTTTACACCATTTTCTTGTTCACTTCATGCCAAATTTACAATTTTATAAGATTAGTTTTTTGGGCTTTTTGACTTAATGGTTAGAAGACCTGCTGAGAGCCAGGAAAGGGGGGGGGGACATCGGCAAAGGGCCACAGGTCGGTGAGGCCTTTGAACACAGAACGCCCCAGAGAGCTCATTTTGAGCAAGAAACTATTATGGTTGTTATAACAATTGATCTTTTTAGAAGATCCAAACTAAAGACTGCAGCAACAGAAATAGACATGCTAAGCTTCGGCTAATGCTATGCTAATGTTGTAGCAGTGCACGATAACTATTTTGCAAGGAACTACAAAGTGCAACCTTTTATTTTGAATGGTTGTTTTACATGTTTTAGGACATTGTGTGTTCCTATTATAACAACGTCCACCAGTACTGTCCCTGTGTGTTCATACTGAGAGCTAAGGACTCAGCATTAGCACATGTGTGAGTTGTTAGCATTTTTCACACTGTAGGCTATTATCAGTTTTTACAGCCTGGCAGCACAATCTGCGATCTCCAGTGCTGGGCAGTAAACCTATACAGAAGTGCCAGAAACTGCAGCTCCATGATGACCACTCCACCCCCGTGTTTAAAGGCAGACTGTACTGCAGAAATACACGTTTACAGCCACATACCAAAAAACTGTTTTACAGTTCTTTTCATATTCATCACAACTGTATGCTAGGAACATTTTCATACAACTCATGTATTTTAAACTATATTAAGGCTTACATTTAGGGGCGTGGCCACTTTGAGTGACAGGTAAGAGCGGTCCCAGTTTGCTAGCTGCTAGCTACAGCTCTGCTATGCTACCTAGGTGCGCCTCAATATTATCCACAATGCTGGTTTTTAGATGAGTGGAGAGTCAGAGGGCGGCGTCACTGCAACACGAGTGACAACCAGAGGAAATCTTGAGCTTCACAACAGCTCTTCAGACACCTGTGGGTGACGCCACAGAGAATCTGTCCGGCTTTAGGAAGGCAGCGCAGTCCACATACAAATGGCACAATCAGAAAAAAGACAATTCTTATTCAGATTCAGATCCTTCAGTTGTTTTGAAATAGTGGAACAGTGGTTTATCTTGATCAATCAGTGTTGGACTCATTCACTTTCACTTCAGTCCCAGTTGTACACATGAAGAATCATTATGATAGTATGGCCTATTTTGTGTTTAGCCAAATATTGTTATCTCTGTTTTAATCCTGTCAGCTATGATGTCATGTCATCTGCTCACATACATGCAGGGAAACTGAGGTGGCCCTGATCTATATGCTTTAGGTCTACTTTCATGTCAGTAGGGTCGTAGCTCTTCTTCTTTGGTATTTATTTGAAGCTTCTTGTACCAGAAACTCCTGAGAGCAGTACTTTTCTTATTTTCTGAAGCTGCTCCTTTGGCTCGAACATGGTGAAAACAACCTGCCTGACACTCTGGCTGTGCTCCGGGTGCCAGCAGAACTATAAAGCTTGGCAATCATCTTTTTATGTGCAGACATGAAATAACTTAGAACTGTTTTTCTCCTCTCTTTACACTCCACACACAGCTCTAAGAATACACCCACCCCCTCCACACACACCTTCCCTGTTTTGTCGGGCTTGTGGGTGTTATTGAATTATCATGCTGCCATGGCAACAGTGACCAAATCGGGTGTATCTATTCTTCTTAAGTCTCTGTTGTTGTTTTTACATTATATCTGGAATCGTGGACGAGGAAACACATCATCTTCTACCCTCATGTTAATCCTTGATTTCCTTCTGCTCCACCAAAACACTCAAAACAGAGAGGTCCCTGAACTCATCACACACAAATACTGGTTCATGCTGTGTTTACATTATCCGGGAAATAAGTTTCCCTTTTATTGGATATCCTTGAAATGCAGCTGTAGGTTATGTAACAGACATGCTCACACTAGAGCTATCCCTGTCAGAAACTTGCATTTTATCAACTGAAATGATTACAGATGCTTTCTCACCTCTGAATTATTCTGTTCGGATGTTTTACATTTGACAGTCCTGAAGAAGACTTGAGTCATGACCTCGGTCAGTTCATGTTAGCCACCAAGAAGAGAACAAGGAATATTTATATATCAGTACAAAATATTTGTTCTCATCACACAGTAAAAAGTGAATTTCAGCATCACGTTAAAAGATGTTTGCCACTGACACTGTTAATCCTATGGTTACTTTATATATCTACCTGCTAGCTCAGGGTAGACTACAGGCTCATCTTTAACTTATATTCATGTGGGTACATTACAAAGAAATGATTACAGTTATTAGCACAAGTACAACAGTACAGATATATTTGATCTTCTTTTCCCCAGGTTTGGTATTGTTCATAGTTTTCTAAATGTGTTTTCACATGGTATTTCAAACAGTTCCTACATTTGCACGTAGCTGAAAAGCATGTTTTCTTAGTCTGTGTTGAGGCCCACACTGTAAGAGGAGGGGGCCATCATTCTAAAAAATCACTTCACGGTTAAAGAGTATGTGAATATGCTACGTCCAGCACCACATATTAAATATTCAGTTACCTTGAAGCTTTAAGTTAATCAGCCGTTCCATATTACATTTGTATTTTCTATGTAGCTTTGTACTATAAACGATATTAGCAAGTTTAATAGAAGGTTTAATGCGGCATTATATTCTATTGTACTGCTGCTTATCCCCCCCGCATCTATGCATGTCTCGCTTAAAAGCCTTTTGTGTATTTGAACACTTTATGCAACTTGAATTGACTTGAATCGGAGTGTGTGACAAACAAGAATAGTGTGAGAACACTTAATATGCAAACATTCTTAATGCCGGCTCAGATAGAGGTATTGATTATGGAAATATACAAGTAGTGTTAGAGCTTTTGTATTCAAAGAATTATATTTTATTCATCTTTGAGATGAAACGCGTCATGTTATTCAAAGAGCTTGTATTCACCAATGTTTTTGTATTCTGTTGAAATAAAAGTGCAGTTTGAATATTCTGGGCTGGAATTCATTGTGACTTTAAAATGATGATTATGATCACACAGGATGAGGAGAACACACCTTTGGAATCATTTCTCACTTTGTATAGAGCGCTTTTCCAACAGCGTCCTGTCTGTGTGGACCCAGTGTTCTCAGAGGAGAGACTGATGGATGCAGGTGGTGCAGACACTGTTTAGAGAATTACTAACACATTTCTGCTTTAGTCTTTATATGGAATGAGTCAAAGAGAACAACGGAGAACACATTGTACATTCACACACATCCAGTTGATATGTAATGTATCACATTTTGTGTTTCTTATCTGTGTGTGTATGTTCGTTTTCCTGTACTAGTGAGCACCAACTATTGAGAAACAACCGGTGATGTGAGGACCACCAAAATAATATGCTATATTCTAATGGCCACTTAGCCTATACTTCATGCTGGGTAAGTGCAAAACTCCTCACGGAACGTGTGTGTGTGTGCAGCCTCCTACGCTTCTCTCACCTCCCCCCCAGCCAGCCCACCGATCTGTGCTGCAATCTGGAGACCACTCTCTGCCAGATACAAGCTTCCAGTCCTCATCAATCTGCAGCACCAACATTTATTTCAAAAATCCTGTTTGTTTTCTGACTCTGATCACTATGACAACCAGATCACAAAGTCAATGAGGGTCAAAGGATGTTTTTATATTTTGTCTTTGAGAAGTGGCCTGATCAAGTCAGTACAAAATGTCATTTTCCTGTGCAAATAGTCATTTCTGCTAATATGATTTAAAAAATCCTATTATTCTCCATCTTTCTGTGGTCTGATTCAGAGAACAGCATTTGAGGATTATGAACTCTCTTTTCATGCAGAGTGATTCAAATCTTTCAGGATTAGCGGGTCACAGAGAGTTGCTCTGACAGGTTTGTGAAGGTTTTCAGGAAACACACACTGCTTCTGCAGAGGACTCTTAAATACAGAGTTAGTGGTATCAGTATAATACTGTATGTCAGCACCTGTATGAGATCCATCAGTCAGTTCAGCCAGACACATGCAGGGCTATCATTTCTGATCTTCACTTTTATGCTTTATAAAATTCTTCTTCCTCTTCAATTCTTCTATCAGGTTTCTTTTATCAAATTGATGAAGTGGTTGAATAACCTCGCCCCAGCTGTACTTTTTCCATATGTCACAAAAACAATCAATACAATGAGCAGGAAATGGAAACTGCACAAAACTGACACCAACACATTTGAGATGATATTCATATTTTAACTTTTATATGATCATATATGACAATTTCGTATACATCTCATACAGAATCGATTACGGTAAGCAGTTCATGTATCCGATGTACTTTTGACAATGATGACACACTGTTTCCTGTAGTAGAGAAGTCTGACCAGGGACGAACAACATGTCAAACTGTATCCTGTTACAATGTGTTTTGCATTTCTTGCAAATAAAGTAATACAATCACAAAATGGAAGGATGACGGGGGAGTACACTGAACTCTCACACAGTTTGTATTATTGTTGATTTCCCAGTTAGTCGCATGCTGCCATCTTTATACACCCTTTCATCATGTTCCCAATTCAGATGACTGCCAATCAGCTTTGTGTGTGTGAACTCAAGTGTTCACTTCCTCTCACTGCACGTAGTGTCAGTACTGAGACTACGTGTGTGTGTGGGGGGGGTATTCAGGAAGTCTCACTACCGATGGTAAGGAGGGTGATTCGCACATGTTTGGTGTCCATTAGCAAAAGTGTGGTATAGTAACTGCTAAGTGGTTCTGCTTTTAGCAGCACCTCAACCAAGGTTCTAGCCCACTGATTGGTCACAGAGAATCGTGACTATTGCGTTTCTTTAACTCTTTTGATTACCTCGTCTTAAAGTGAATGTTTTATGATTGGTTGGTAAGATACTTGAAAAACGGTCTGTGGTTAACACAAACAGCTTCCATGCGTCATAGAAACGGGTCTGAATGAGACTATTAAACGTCATCACCCCCAACATTAGCCGCCTTTAGTTTAGCGGTGGTGACGTGAAGTCATGTGACCGTGATGTAAATTGGTTTTAACCTGAGGTTAACTTCTTTCTTCTGGAGATTACATTTACACTTTAGAAGTCATAAAGGTGTGTTTTTATATGTGGAATCATTCTTGCTAAATAAAACGTATAAGCATCATCACTGTAAACCTTTTTGCCATTACATTACTGTGTGTGTGCGTTAAGGAGAGGTGGATTAGGAAGTGTTTGCAACAGGACGAACTAATATCTTAATTTGGGTCAAAATGGTTTATGTGTAGTTTTTGAATAAGGAAATGATGTCATCTCCTATAGTTTAGCATATTAGCTGTGAACTATCAAACCAGAACAAAATCTCATTACCAAAGGGGAGAAAACCTCATTCAATCACATAAATATATAGTTTAACACAAGTCACCTTAATCCATTCTGGGGAAACAATCTTAAACAACTTTAAGGTTTGTGGTTTGCTCCTTTGGTCTAGAACATTTGCAATAATAAAATAACAAAACACCTGGAAAGTCATAATGCAAACAGAAATAATACATTGAAATATCACAATCTAATCACGTTATAATGTGGAACAAGTGTAATCAATAAAAACTCAAACTAAATGTGACAAAATGCAATGTAAATACAGTGAATCCTAATGTTCTGTACTTGAAGCATGTCACTTGAATGTCCTCTTGCTGCCACTGGAAACATGAGGGACTGACCTTTCTCACAATGATACATACATAGAACGTTAAATGTCATATTTCCATCCTGCTTTCTGCTTGCTTCTGTTTGAGCTTTTGCTGGAGCTCTTTTAATTACATAATCTCATTGGCACCTCAATTAACAACTTTTTTTTTAAATTCAGCTTGAATTTGAAATGTAAAAAAAGTCATTTACTGTAAATAATGCATGTCTTGTCATTGACGTCATGAGAACCTTTGAGAGGCTGCCTCTGAGGAACCTGCTCACTCCAGAGGCTGCCTCTGTGGCCCCTGAGGAACCTGCTCACTCCAGAGGCTGCCTCTGTGGCCCCTGAGGAACCTGCTCACTCCAGAGGCTGCCTCTGTGGCCCCTGAGGAACCTGCTCACTCCAGAGGCTGCCTCTGTGGCCCCTGAGGAACCTGCTCACTCCAGAGGCTGCTAGAGGCATGTCTTCACCATGAGTCTGATTCTTCATCATCAAATCAAATCAAGTTTTATTTATATAGCACATTTATAAACGATTTTTGGTCAAGCCAAAGTGCTGTACATATAATAAAAATAGCCTACAGTAGAGACACTTTACAGCAAATACAACAGCACAGATTGTACAGAATATCAGTATGAGAAAAACGACACCCTCTATCCTTAGACCCTCACATCGTACAAGGAAAAACTTCCAGAGAAAACCCACAGTTTAAAGGGGAAAATGGGAGAAACCTCAGGGAGAGCAACAGAGGAGGGATCCCTCTCCCAGGACGGACAGACGTGCAATAGATGCCGTGTGCAAATCGAAGAGATAATACATTTTACAGCATATAGACCGAATGTTAGGAAATGCATGTGTCTGTAATCTTGTCCTCACCATGAGCCTGAGTCTTCATCATGTCTTCATCATGTCTTCATCATGTCCTCACCATGAGCCTGAGTCTTCATCATCTCTTCATCATGTCTTCATCATGTCCTCACCATGAGCCTGAGTCTTCATCATGTCTTCACCATGAGCCTGAGTCTTCATCATGTCTTCACCATGAGTCTGAGTCTTCACCATGAGTCTGAGTCTTCACCATGTCCTCACCATGAGCCTGAGTCTTCATCATGTCCTCACCATGAGCCTGAGTCTTCATCATGTCTTCATCATGAGCCTGAGTCTTCATCATGTCTTCACCATGAGCCTGAGTCTTCATCATGTCTTCACCATGAGCCTGAGTCTTCATCATGTCTTCACCATGAGCCTGAGTCTTCATCATGTCTTCATCATGAGCCTGAGTCTTCATCATGTCTTCACCATGAGCCTGAGTCTTCATCATGTCTTCACCATGAGCCTGAGTCTTCATCATGTCTTCATCATGAGCCTGAGTCTTCATCATTTCTTCATCATGAGCCTGAGTCTTCATTATGTCTTCACCATGAGCCTGAGTCTTCATCATGTCTTCACCATGAGCCTGAGTCTTCATCATGTCTTCACCATGAGCCTGAGTCTTCATCATGTCTTCATCATGAGCCTGAGTCTTCATCATGTCTTCACCATGAGCCTGAGTCTTCATCATGTCTTCACCATGAGCCTGAGTCTTCATCATGTCTTCATCATGAGCCTGAGTCTTCATCATTTCTTCATCATGAGCCTGAGTCTTCATTATGTATTCACCATGAGCCTGAGTCTTCATCATGTCTTCACCATGAGCCTGAGTCTTCATCATGTCTTCACCATGAGCCTGAGTCTTCATCATGTCTTCACCATGAGCCTGAGTCTTCATCATGTCTTCACCATGAGCCTGAGTCTTCATCATGTCTTCACCATGAGTGTTACGTGCCGTAGTGCTTGTGCGGGTGTGTGTGTGTCTTTCTCTCTCTCTCCCTCTGATTCCCCAGGTGCAGCCTGATTGTCTCCAGGTGCAGCCTCTCCCCAGGTGCTCCCAATCCTCAATCAGGGCCTCCATAAAGGACCTGAGGAAGGCTGCAGTCGCTCTCTCCTTCTCCTCTGGCTGCATGTGTGCAGCCTGTGTTACGTGCTGTAGTGTAGTGTCTCTGTGTGAGGCCTAGTTTAACCTGTGTACTGCTAATTGTTAGGAGATGTGCCAACCCAGTCTCACAAAAAAACATGTAATAACTACGTTGGTCCACAACGTAGGACGTAGTATTTCTACAAAAACGCCTCTGAAATTGTAAGATCCCTACGTTTTTTTTTCACCATTCATTCCAATGGCTGGCGTCTACAGTATGTCACGTGATCTTCAAATTTCTCCCTGCAGAAAAAAAAAACATGGCCGAACTTCGTTTTATTCTCGGTGTAAAATGCCTATTTTAA